ACGCAGACCCCAGGTCAGTCAGTCCCCCAACATCACAGCATCCGCGGGGACGGCTGCCTGGCCGCCGCGGGCGCCTCTTCCAGCTCCCCATCCAGCCCTCGGCACAGTTACTCCTCCCATTCGGTAGACAGGACCCGGAGAAGCCGGCTAGTCACTCCCCAAAAGTGGCCACCGACCAAGGATGGGATCAAGGCTTCTGGTTCCGGCTGTGCGACGCTTCCTTCGCTGGGGTTGAAAAGGAGCCCCCAGCCCAGCCAGACTGTTGTCAGCAGTGACTGGGACTTTAGTGACAGCTCCCTAAGCTGCAACCTGCAGCAGCCCGAGGAAGTGCCTCAGTCTTTTGGGGGGACCCTCAACTCTGGCAAACCCGTAGTTCCTAGCGTCGATGCAGGAAAGATTGTCTAGAGCAGCAGTGAAGCAGAACTGGGGTCTGTTGATAGTCTCAAGACAGCGAGTCAAGGTGCGGGCTTCTCACAGGAGCCCCGCTTTAGTAAGAGCCCTTTAAAAGAATGGTTATTATTGCTTGTAGATTTTAAGCCCCAGAATTAAAAGAGATGTCCAGGGAAAGGATAAGACATACTCAGGTGTGGGCGTAGGCTTCTCAATGGAGAGTCACAATTAAGTGTCTTAGCATAAGCATTTTGGTGGCTGTCTTTTTTTTTTTTTTTTTTTTTTTTTTTTTTTTTTTTTGTACAAGTTTCTTTCTCTTTGCTGGTGAGTTGGATGGGCTTATATCTGATACAGTAAAAAGCCAGGAGCCATTAAAGTTGCACAAGGGGTTTCTGTTGGGATGACTAGAACACGCAGTTTTACATCCCCAAATGGAGAACGAGGTCTTAAGGCATTTGGAATTTTTTTATTTCAGTTGCCTAGAGATTTTAAGATGACTGGGGTGAGGGGCTCTTTTTCCTTTTTATGTTTTCAGTCTGATCGTCCTGCCTCAAGACCTTCACAACAAGCTCCATGGGCAGTCATAAGGTATCACAGAAGGACCCTCTGAGATGCAAGGAGGAGATTAAATTAAACTATTTTAGCCAGGTGGTGGTGGCACACGCCTTTAATCCCAGCACTTTTCTTTTTTTGGTTTTTTGAGACAGGGTTTCTGTATGGCTTTGGAGGATGTCCTGGAACTAGCTCTTGTAGACCAGGCTGGTCTCGAACTCACAGAGATCCGATGGGATTAAAGGCGTGCACCACCACCGCCCGGCTCAAAAAAAATATTTTAATAAGTAAAAATGATAGCCCTTTGCCTTCATTAGGATGGCTTTATGCTTTTCTAGTTATGAGTGATAAATCTTAGTTAAAAACATACCAGAAGAATTAATTGTTTCTTTTTCCATACACAGTGCTCACAGGGTTTCAAAGTCAGCTGTCTTACATGATGCTAAATCTGAGGGACATGGCTTGTGTAGATGATTGGGTTTAACAACGGTTAGCTGCTGTGCCTTCAAGGATCACACATGCATAGTCACATAGTAAATTCATGGCCAACAGGAATATTTTTAAGGTTAGCAGCATTCTCCGTTCATTTGTAAAGGCCAAAGCTCACTGTGATGTTAGTCAAATATGGGTGCTGAATCTAAATTTTATTGATTTATAATGTGAAATCCACAGGTCTTTGCGCCAGGGATACAGTTGATGATGGTGTGGTATGGAATTGTATGGGATTGTTCTACATCTGTCTCCAGACTTCTTTTGTTTGAAACATTGCCTCTTGGTTAAGCTTGTTTCTCTCTTTATGTTTCCTCCTAAGCAGTTTGCTTTGCATTGTACATCGTGACCATTTAAATGTGATTCTTGGTAGTGGATGTGAACTGTTTACTGTTTACTGTTTATCCAGCCATCCAAATGTTAAAACCAAGGCCTTATATTTCTCATATCTAGGAATATTTTCTTTTTGGTTTGGTGTTTAGAAACTCAGATTAAATTAAATTTTAATTAGATTAAAACTTAAGCTCATCTGAAGGGAAGTATGGCACCCAGAATAATAATAACAGGTGACCACTTTCCCCCCATGAAAGTGCACTTTAGGAGTGAAGCCCCATGAAGGATTCTGGAGGGCACCCTTTAAAAGGATGGCTTCGAGAAGCAAAGGCACAGCTGTGCTTGTTCTGAGTTAGCTCCTTTTGGGGAGAAAGGATGTCTCTTGTTGGTCTGCTGCCTCTTGGGTGTGGTGTGTTCATTTGCTAGGCCTGCTATGACAAAATGCCACAGGCTTGTTGCTTAAACCACGGGAGTTAATTTTCTCACAGTTTTGGAGATTGTAAATCCAGGGCCAGTGTGTTGAAAGGGTGGGTTTCTTCTGAGATTTCTCCTGCAGCCACTCTGTTGGGGTCTGCAGTGTCTGCCCCCTTCTGTGATGCTGACTAGACAGACTGGATTAGGAGTCACCCTCTTGGGCTCACGCTATCTCAGGCATTCTTTATGCAGGCCTTGGCCTGGGCTTGGAGCTCCCAGAGGAACTCTAGGAGGCTTCCCACAGCTCAGCCACTGACACTGGAGTTTATAAACTTTTCTTCCTTGGGAGTTGGAGCAGCTAGAGTGAACCAGAGGACATTGGCAAAGGTCTGTGGTTTTTAATGCTATTTCTCCTTCTGCAGATACTGGGCCAACTTAAAGCTGTGGTTCAAGCAGAAGATCAGCAAGGAAGAGTTCGACCTTGAAGCCCACAGGCTCCTCACTCAGGACAATGGTAGTTCTTCATTTCTCCAAGTTTCCCCAGACTTAAAATAAGTACTTTTGTTTTTGATGGTGTGTAGGTAATCATAACAATATTGGTTTAAAAAGTTAACTGTAAAGAATGGTAGAGAGTGGGGGAACATTTAAAGTATTTACAAGCTAGGCTAATGTTTTGCTTATGTTGAAGATACTCTCTGACTTGTGGTAACCTTCCTTTTTTCCAGTCCATTCTCACAATGATTTCCTGCTGGCCATCCTCACACGTTGTCAGATTTTGGTTTCTACACCAGGTAAGGGAGTAGGAATGCTTCCAGTGTGGATCACTTGGCAAAGCTGGGCAGCACTGGGATTTAGCTTCCTTTATCAGACACCACTCAGGTTTGCAAAGGAAATAGAACCTGAATTACCCAGAACCAAAAAAAAAGTTATATAGGTGATAACCATTGTACACACACTCACACTTGTACACAAAAGTGTGTGTGAAACACACACCCTTAACAGATGATTTCCTCATATTTTCTACTTTTACTCTCCACTCAGCTTGCTATATTCTAGATGAAGTAATGAGGATCGGGTGAGTCAGGATTCAGAAAATGAAGGCAGGGAGGAGGGGCACGTGGCACCAGGAGGGGATGCTCGGGATGCTCTGGATGAAAGGATGGTGTAGAAACTTGGGCTTCTGCTGTGCTCTGAGCATCACGGCACCCAGGAGATAAGAGCTCAGTGTCTGTCTAACTTGTTGGTAGGAAGGTTGGTAAGACTATGTGTAACTGGTTGTAGATAGAAATTGGGGTCATAAGGCTCACATCAATTGTTCATACACTTGTCCTTCAGCCATTTTTAGTAAGGCAAAGGTTAAGTGAGTGCTCTGAAAACTTCCCTTGTGATAAAGCTATCTTGGACCGTTTAAAACGTTTACGGGAGCTTCCTGCCTCTGTAGATTGTCAGTTTTTGTTTTTGCTTTTTTCCCCTTTTGGTCAAGGCAAGAGTGGTTCTGGATATCTTAAAAGGCAGCCAGGCTGATGTTTTGTGTTTGTCTATGTACAAAGTGAATACAGTTACAATGTCACATCCCTTTGGAGCTGTAGTTACAGGCAATTGTGAGTCACCTGACATGGGTGCTGGGAACTGAACCCAGGTCCTCTTGGAGAGTAGTACATGCTTTTGACTGCTGAATCAGCTCTCCAGCCAGCCCCTGTATTATACCTCTTAATCATTATAACTAACCTGGCTTATTTGATGAGGAATTCAAATATGACCTTACCACTGAAGGCTCTTAGAGAAGCTGTTGGATGTTGAGTGTAGCAGATGGTGGTGGCTCTTCCGAAAGGTTGGCACTAGAGAGGGTGTGGCTCCCTGACCTTTCACCACACTGTCACCACACGTGTTGCACTATGTCAGGTTTCAGGTGCTGGGTTTAACTTAAATAGAAATGAACTTTAGCCAGATTTGTTTTCTGTATGTGTAAAGATGGGCCAGAATGATAATCTCCTGTGTTTAGCAGAAGAGCCAACCTTGTGAAGATTGGATCTTGCTAGGTCGGCATGTTGAGAGCACCACACTTGCAGCAAGCGAGGCTGGTGGGAGACAAGGGGTGGGCTCAGGGTTAGACTTTGTCACCAGTATAATTGATACCTGATGGTTCTTAGCTTTTACTCTTGTGAAATAGATACAATAACATTTTCCAAGAAAAACGATGAGAGAATGTCAAGTAGCACATTTGCAAGTGAGAAATGTATTAGTAAGGATATACTTGGCTGATTAATTAAAGAAAAACTCAGTATTCTTGAATGTATGTTATTGGTTATACAATTTTATAATTGGTTTACAGCTATACATTTTTAATAATATGCTAACATACGGCATGGTAGATAACAATCTTTACAGCCACTCTTCAGGGTGTTGTTAGCCTCTTTAATAGATACAAAAACAGACATCAGAACAAAACAAAAATTTAAAAATTTGCCCAAGGCCCTGTCTCCTTAAATGGCAGTTAGTCTTGGCTCAAAACCAGTCTTGGGTGCTGTGGGAAACCCCCCTTTCTCTGGGCCATGTTCCTCCCTTTGTGTCCTTACCCCACTTGCGGTCTACACAGCACCTTGCTCTGAGTTCTGTCTGTTCTGCCTCTTAGTCTTCCTGTAGTCAGCTCTTCCTGCCAGCACCTAGGATCCAGGTCTAATTGCAGGAGTAGGTTTCTTTGGGAAATCATTTAACCATAGAACCCACGTTACTCCCTGCTCCCTCCAAAACTTTACTAACAACCCCCCCCAAAAAAAAAAACAAAACAGAAACTCTACTCCATTAAAATGATAATAACTGAGGCTGGGGAGAGGGCCAGTTCAGTTCCCAACACCCCCATGGCAGCTCACAACCACCTTAACTCCAATTCCAGGGGATCTGACACTCTCCTGGGCTATCAGGGTATTGGGCATATTTGTGATACACATATGAACATGAAGGCAAACACACTCATAAAATTAAAAAAATGAATCTTAAAAACATGTTATAACCATTACTATAATTATGAGTTTTTTTTTTTTTTTTTTTTTTTTAATGATTTTGGTGGTGGGGCTGGGGAATGGCTTGTCAGTTAAAAAAGGTTACTACTCTTGGAGAGGACCTAAGTTTGGTTCCCAGTACCCCGGCCTCCTCAGGCACCTACAATTATGTATACATTGTATCTCCCCTCCCCCAACACACACACACACACACACACACACACACACACACACACACAAATCAAAACAAAACAAAACAAAGTTTCTCACTATGTTCATAGTTCTAAAAAGAAAATCAGTACAGAAAGTTGTTAGTAAAGGCTGCTCCTTACAAGTCCACCACATCCCAATGCACTCACTGTTGAACTTTGTCCTTGCTGTGAGTCTTCCATTGTAGCACAAATTCTCTGTTCTTAATAATAAAAACCTGGAGTCAGCTATCAGGGTGAAAGCTGAAGGATCAGAGAAGTACAGCAGCCAGCCACTAGAAAGTTCTTACCTCTGCCATTGCTCAGACCAACGCGGCCATCCTGTCCTCAAACTGCTTCAGACTGACTGCTGCTTCAGTCTGAATGCCCTGTGCTCCTGTTTCCTCCTTCCTTATAATCCTCTCTCCACCCAGCCCTAACACTCCTGTCTCTACCTCCCTAGTGCTGGGATTGAAAGCGTGTGATTCCAAGTGCTGGGATCACTTGTGTGTGTTTGAGTTCTGTTTCTTTTATACTGGATCAATTTTGAGTAGCCCAAGGTACCCCTGAACTAACAGAGATTCAACTGCCTCTGTCTCCCGAGTTCTGGAATTAAAGGTGTGTGCCACCACTGCCTGGCCTCTATGGCTAACAAGTGTGGCTAGCTCTGCACTCCAATACTTAGGCAAGCTTTATTTGTTAGATCATAAACAAAAACTACCACAGTCCATTGTCCCTCATTGTTGCTTATACCTGGCTCTGGATCTGTTAGCTTCGGGGTCTGTTCCTTTGCCTTATTATCCTTGTCCTTTGAGAGTTCCTCAGCTTTTCCGGGCTTTCTGTTTAAAATAATCTCAAATTCAGTGACTTTGATGGATACATGTGATTTGAGATTTATAATTTTGTTTTTAGAGAAGTAGAAATGATTCAGATTTGAACTTCATCATTTAAATTTTCATTACCCAGATGGTCCACACTTTTAATCCCCAGTGGAAAAAAAAAAAGCTGTTGTCATTTTCCACTTTGGTTATTGTCTTTTTCACTGTGACTATTGTTTTTCTGTCTTGTAGAGGGTGCTGGATCTTTGCCCTGGACAGGGGGCTCTGCAGCCAAGCCTGGAAAACCCAAGGGCAAGAAAAAGCTTTCTTCTGTTCGTCAAAAATTTGATGTAGGTCATTCTCCAATAGATCCTGGCAACTGTGGGTTAAGTACTAGTGTGATAAAGTAGCTATGAATTTTTTGTTGGGGAGGGGGATTGAGACAGAGTTTCTCTGTGTAGCCCTGGCTGTCCTGGAATTTGCTTTGTAAACCAGGCAGGCCTTGAACTCAGAGATCTGACTGCAGCTGCCTCCCAAATGCTGAAACTAAAGGCACCACCACACCTGGCTAAGTAGCTGTGATTTTAAATGTCACCAGCAGTATTAAAAAAAAATAATTTAGGAAGTAAAAAAGATTGTAAATACATCTTACAAATGTATTCTTGTCAGTTTTTACACATAAGTGTTGTCATTAGCACTTTAGAGTTTCCAATGTTTGGAAGCTGGGCTTGTGTTCTCTCTTCATTCAAGTGTCAGATCAAAGGCATCTGGTCAAGGATTAGTCTGGAGCCTCTGGTAAGCTTCTGATGATACCTAGCTGCTCTCTGTGCTTTTAGAGATTGGTGTAGAGACTATGAAGCATTTGGCTGTAACACTTGTAAACCTTTTGTAATATATGTTTTTAGGTAGGAAGAGTTTTCCACAAGTTTCTCATCCTAGGCTTGCCTGTTCTGTGCTTTATGTCAGTAATATTACTCAACCTGGGGGTCTCCACTGTCTCTAGAGGCATACCTGGTTTAAAATGTGTTGGGTATGTCACAGCTTTACACTTAAATGGAAAAATGCCAGTATTGCTTTTAAAAAATATATATGGATACTGGATATTGTTTTCGCTGTAAAATCAAAGGTACCAGGAACAAATCTCCCAGTGATGGTGGAGTATATTAATTTCATAGGAATGCTGAAGTGTATACAAATGAGCAAAGGTTGAGTGTTTTAGATCATGCCTTGGGCTGTTTGTTAGGAATGTAAACAGTCACGATGAAGAGCTGCTTCTGTCCTATAGCATTAGCTTGGAATATTTGTCAGAGCTATCATTTGATCAGTTAGGCTTTGTAAATCCTAACTGAAGCATTAATTATATATCTATACTCCAGAGTCTTCTTACAATTTAACTTCTGTGACTTTCTGAATACAGTTCTGTGTCATCTCTTCATGACATAGCATAAGACCATACCTGTTGTGGCCACCAAGGTATTAATTGAATATAATAAATGGTTGCAGGCATGGAGGCACACAGCTGTAATCCCAGCTCTTAGGAGGCTGAGGCAGGTGTATTAGGAGTTTGAGGCCCATCTAGGTTATTAGGTATATATAACAAGACTGTTTCAAAAAGACAAAGAACAATTTGCTGTGTAGACAGCCATTGTCCCCTTAACCTGTAACAGGTGTGAAATTATGATCATTTGTGCATGATTTACTAGCTTTCATGGATGAGCAATCTCTCCAGGCCATGATTTACTTTTTACTTGGAAACTTTTGATACCCTTTGGTGTAGTTTTGTCTGTCTCTGATTCCAGTAGCTGGGTTTCTTCTGTCTTGTCTCGTTGCTTGCTATTGGAGTGAGTAATTGTGAAGTTTCCTTACTCAGCATAGATTCCAGCCTCAGAACCCCCTCTCTGGCGCTCAGCAGTTTGTGGCAAAGGATCCCCAGGATGATGATGATTTGAAACTCTGTTCCCACACTATGATGCTCCCCACAAGAGGTCAGCTTGAAGGGAGAATGATCGTGACTGCCTACGAGCATGGGCTGGACAACGTCACCGAGGAAGCTGTTTCTGCTGTTGTCTATGCTGTGGAGGTGGGTTTGCTGTTGGTAGAAATAACTACAAATAATAATTGTTAATGAGCTTATGTGTGTTTAAAGCTGATATTGACAGAAAGGAACTGAATGCCACTCAGGTTTCGTATCTGTCATCATTGAATTGAAACACTTCATACTTCACAACCAAAGAATTTGCCTGTTTTTTTAGAAATGTTCCTTGCAGCATCCATACTTTTGCTTATCTCTTTTTAAATTTGTTTTAATTTGTCAACACAGGAACAGTTTTTAAGCAAAAACAGAAATCAGAAATTCTAGTGGTTCAAGCCACTCATGTTTGAGGTAGTGCTGCAATTAAAGAGTGTCAGGTGGGCGTCTGAGTAGTGAGATTGTTTGACCCACTATTCCATTTATTCGTCATTTAGTTATTTGGTAAAATGTACATTGCATTGATTTTATTTTCCTCATAGTCATTTCTGAGATAGTTGCACTCGAAAAATTGAATGAGTTCTGTATGAAAACCCATATTTAATTGCACAGTCTTGATAGAAGACAGTCATATTGGTATAATTGGAATGCCTAGCCTGACCCTAGCTCTTCTGTGCTAGCATATACTGAGCGTGTCCTATTTTCATGTTCCCCAACCAGCTCTAATGTGCTTGGATCTTATAAAGGTGAAGAGAATTGAATAGTCATGCACAGTATTTTCTGTCTGTAGAGCTTTTGAGAGCAACAGCTATTGCTGTGAGTTTGGTAACCAGTGAATACCAGATCTTAAAACTTTTGTCTCATTTTAAGTCAGATTTCAAAGTCATTTGCCTTAAAACAAATCATTTCTGAGAAATGTCAGCTTACGGGAAACAAACTCAGCGCATGTGGAGTGGTAGGGAGCACTTGGCTTGCATGCGAGGCCCCATGTGCTGTTCAATCTCAGCACTGCAGACTATGAAACAAAGTCTCCTTCAAAGAACATTGCCTGTAGAACAGCCTCTTTAAAGACAGTGAAGTGAAGCCACACACCCTTCTCTCCCCCATGTCCTGTGCATCGATCGGCTTGGCTCTTTTCATGAGTGTTTCTGTCATTCTGCATCACTAAATGCAAGGACCATTTGGAATGAAGGACCACTTGGCAATGGAAATTGTATAGTTTGCTTTTGAGGAGCTCATGCTATTTTTCTTTTCTTTTTTTTTTCAGAATCACCTCAAAGATATACTAACTTCAGTTGTGTCGAGAAGGAAAGCCTACCGGGTCCGAGATGGCCATTTTAAATATGCTTTTGGTAGTAATGTGACCCCACAACCATACCTGAAGAATAGTGTGGTGGCTTACAACAACTTGGTTGAAGGGTGAGTGGCTTCCTGTACTCTTGCATCGGTCCTATGCTGCTTGGTCACTGGCCTTAGTGAGAGACCACTGTTAATGAATCGGTTATTTCTTTAGTTGCATGCCTTATAGTGAATTATTTTGGTACTTTTTTTTTTAACCAGAGGTGATTATTTGATTGCCTCTCCCTTTATATGTGGGATGGAGTAGCCCTTCAAGTAGTATGCCTGAATGATAGCCTCTGCCTGGTCAGAAGGTGGCCTGCTCATGGCCTAAGGCTGGGTGTCTGATGGTGGGAAAAGGAGAAAGAGGGGTAGGTTTGTTGTCCATGTTCTCATCTGACGCTCATGGCTGTAGCTCAAAGTCTTCCTATTGTTCTCAGCACCCTGTTGAACAAATCTATGTCCTCAATTGACTCAGGGCTCCTAGGGCCATCTTCAGTTCTAAGCCACCCTTTTATGAGTTGATTCAGGTTACCTTTATCCATTCTGCTTTCCCCACAAAATTTAGTGTTAATTTTAACCTTTTGGAAACGAAACTGCAGTGGATTTCCTTGTGATTACTGCAGTGGCTGCACTTCTTGAAAGACTGGGTTTTGTCTGTCTGGTTATCTGCCTAGTGGAGGACGGGAGGAAAGAGGTGACGAGGATACACACAGCATCACAGTAAACAAGCAAGACTAGGCAGGCTGGCTGGAGCAGCAGTGGTGAAAGTAACAGAAAGAGGGCAGATGTAAGGGGAGCTGGCAGCACATAGAGAGAGGTGCTATTACGGCCATCCCCAGGCTGTGGAGACATTGTGATGACCGAGTGGCATCTCAAATTGGGGTCCTGTTTAGGTTTCTATCTGTGGTGAGTTACTACCCAAACCTCATTCAGACACACCTGTTTGAGATTGTTTCATATTTAAGTCATTCACCCAGGAAAAAAATGGAGTAAGGGGTGTTGGGAGTCAGCTGTGACATGGCTTTGCCCTGGAGCTCTCCATCCCTGTCCCCATGCACAGGAAGCTGTTCGTTGATCAGAGCTGCTTCTGTCTGAGGCTATAAGCCACAACTGCTGCCCCACTGTGCTTTCCCTCCTGGTATTTTCCTGCAGCTCTAGCTACCTCTCTGTACTGATGTGAAAGCCAGGCCTGTCTTCTATTTGGTCTGCTTTGGGAAACTAGCAAGGTCTGGCTGGTGTTTTTCCCATAGTCCCATTTTGCCTGCTACTTTTCTTACTGTTTATTTTTTAACCTTGCATTCTGTCCAATTTGCCTTTCTCCATAATTTTTCAATTTCACATTCCTTCAGCTACACTGCTTTTTTTGTTTGTTCATCTATATGTTTTTCCAAACTGGAAACTCTAGGGGCAGGAAACAGTTTGGCCCAGTACCCTGAGCAAAAATAAATATATTAGTATTATGGGAGGAGGGAGTAAATATGGCTGCATTATGTTGTTTCCAGCCTGACACATGGACCTTTTGAAAAATTAAAATCATGGACTCTTTCTGTAGAAGGTGGTGTGTTTCTGATTCATTTAAAGACACTCAGAATGGGATGTGTTTCAGCAAGCCTCTCTATTCTAGGTGTTCACTTCTCTTCATTCTGGGTACTGAAAGTATTTCTTTGAAAACTTCTTCTCCAGCCCTCCAGCCTTTTCTGCTCCCTGTGCCAGTCAGAATTCAGCTTCTCAACCACATCCTGACGATGCTGAACAGCAGGCCGCATTCCTGTTGGCATGTTCTGGGGACACTCTACCTGCATCCTTGCCCCCGGTGAACATGTATGACCTGTTTGAAGCTCTGCAGGTATTTCTTGGCTCCTGGTTTACCTAGAGTTATTGCTACATTAATGCCTATGAGTTTATAAAGATACTAGCTATTCTACTTTTTGACTTGTTTTTATGATCAACAGTGGTAGCCTCATTTTAAAACCTCAAACCCTGTAGTTCCTCCTAAGTTATCTCATCCTCTACCACTCCAAATATCCTACTCCAAATCATCCTATAGTTCCTTATTATTTTCAAGTTTTTTTTTTTTTTAATTTTAAAGTTAAAATTGCCATTGTGTGCATGCATGTGAGTACAATGTGTCATGGCTTGTGTGTGGTCAGAGGACAACTTTGTGGGGTCATTTCTTTCTTTCTACCTTTACTTTATCTGAGTTCCAGAAATTGGACTCATGTCATCAGGCTTGCATGGCAGTTACCTTTTAACTGCTGAGCAGCCCACAGATCTGTTTAGTTTTCTCATTATCTGACTTGGGGTTCATTCACTATGTTACTACTTAAAGTTTATAGGGTACCAAAGTCATAAGAAGTTTTTAAAAATACAAGTTATACTTTTGAATGCTGGAAAAACAAGTCTACTGAAGCATAATAGAAAACATGTAATTTTAAAATCACAGGTACACAGGGAAGTCATTCCTACACATACTGTGTATGCTCTTAACATTGAAAGGATCATCATGAAACTTTGGCACCCCAATCATGAAGAGCTACAACAAGACAAAGTCCACCGCCAGCGCTTGGCAGCAAAAGAAGGACTTTTGCTCTGCTAAATTAGGATTTGAAAATTTGGGACCATCACTAAATTAATTGGTTGATGAAAATTGAATGCTTTTGAGTCCACATTTCAAAATTGAAGTGTATAATGTATGTATAACCTTTCCTATGGAAATGAGATTGAGTGCATTTTGTGTTGCTACTGTGAAGCCATTAATATATGTCTGACTGATGATGACCTGTGTGTGTATCCCAAGTATAGGAGCAGGCATTGTTCTGTTCCTGAATAGGGATATTAAGGCAACTGAGGTGTTGTATCCCTAGTCTATTGTTAAGATAGATGACATACTAGAATAAAGATGCTATTGTAGCTCAGTCCCTGTGATTAGCAGGACTACTGTGTGTTGAATGATGTATATTTTGTATCCAACAGTGAAAAATCTGCTTACCATGAAGAATTATACTCTGCATATTGGTGGAATAACCTAATGTTAGTCAGAATTCTCCTTTAGTGACTACTTAGCAGCTAGAGTAGTTCCAGGCAACCTACTGTTTTCACTGGAGAACAGGATTTGGATATGTGGTTCTTTATAGTTTTTTGGTTTTTTTTTTTTTTTTTTTTTTGTAATTCAGTTGTTTTAGCATTAGTGTCTAAAGGCTAATGGGCAAGCTTGTTAATCCTATAGAAATGGTTTTCATGAAATCTTACAAACTGCTAATTTTCATATTTCTACAAAATGTCTGTTTTACTCTTTCAAGTGGTACTATGAACTACATTTGACAGTGTTACTGGTAACCAACTTGTTTTAAAGCTATGTTGCTTTTCATTCATGTAGTGTTGATGGATAAAATAGGTGTGCAGATAGATTTTCATTGGCCTAAACAGTAGACACATGTGAGTATTTTTGTGTGTTCCTATATCTGGATATGTGAATTTGGTTTTGTAATTTTAAATGTGACAAACATTTTGGGAGAAAATCTTTTTCTGTTTATTCAAATAAGCAAATAAAATTATATATATATCACATACACACACACACACATATCATGTAGTGTTGATGGATAAAATAGATGTACAGATAGGTTTTCATTGGCCTAAACTGTAGATATATGTGAGTATTTTTGTGTGTTCCTGCATCTGGATATGTGGATTTGGTTTTGTATTTTTAAATGTGACAAATAAACGTTTTTTTGGAGAAAACCTTTTTCTGTTTATTCAAATAAGCAGATAAAATTTTACGTGTGTGTGTGTGTGTGTGTGTGTGTGTGTGTGTGTGTGTGTGTATTTATGCATAAGGTTTTGTTCAAGACAGGGGTTCTCTGTGTAGCCTGGGCTGTCCTGAAACATGCTCTGTAGACCAGGCTGACCTTGATCCACCTGCCTCTGCCTCCTGAGTGCTGGGATTAAAGGCGTGTGCTGTCACTGCACAGCCAGGTAAGGAGTATTGTCTTCCATAGAAACAGGAAAGGTTGAGCCGTATGAGATCTTGGCTCAAACTCCAGAAGAATGTACTAGGCAAGCAAGGCATGGCAAGTTCCTGTTAAAGTATGCATTTAGTGGTAATGTGGCCTAAGATTAAAAAAAAAATAAAAACAAAAAAACCAACAGCTTAAGTTGTTCTTGGCACAAACCTTTCCGAGTGTCAGGTGGGTGATACTCAATAACATTAGCAGTTGAAAAGGTTTGGAATGATAGGTACACACATAGTGGTCTTGTTTTAGACTGCTGCTGTATGAAGGGCTTGTGCTATTCAGGGGTTGCTGTGTGTGTCTGGCAATGGAGAATTCCAAAAGGGTTCTCTGTGTGTGTGTGTGAGAGAGAGGGAGAGGGAGAGGGAGGGAGGGAGGGAAGGAGAGAGAGAGAGAGAGAGAGAGAGAGATAGAGAATGAATTCCAAAAGGGTTCTGTGTAGCAGAGGAAGTTAGGTGTGGGTATGTGTCTCCCCTGCAATGAAAAATTCCAAAGGGTCTGCAGCAGAGGAACTTCCAAGCTGTCAACTGTTCACTTTGCTAGGCCCTGGCCTACTTAGTCACCTCTCCAGTGGGACCACAAACTCCAAATGCATAGCTGTCATTTTACCTTAACTATTTTGAGGTCTACACTCAGGTCTGTCTTTCATGCCAGTTGTCAAGAGATTTTCTGAAGTGAGGAGAATGGGGTTGGAGGAAAGGAAGGAACATAATAAGAATTAGGCTATTCAAGGGTTCCTGTAAAAGATTTCAACTTTTGTGTTCCACCAAAGGCTGGCTCAATTTCTGATACCTCTGCCAGGCATGAGTCTATGTGCAGTCTCCTATAATTAAGAAATCATAAAAACAAATTGTCAAGGATCTCTTAGGAAAAATATTTGGAAGAAAGCTATTAGAAACTGGGTAATTTCAGAGTTACTCCCAAGTTATTTCTACCCTAAGGCTTTTAGTCATGTGTTTAGCCACAGGTGTGACTGCAACAAGTTTGCCTTGCTTTACCAGGCACATTGAGGATCTTAGCACATACTTGAAAACCCCATATTCCCAATTAAAAAAAAAATGCTTGTAACAAAGTACATCCCATGAAGACTTTGCTTCAAAGGTGTAGTAATACAGTGCTACCAAATCTGATGAATAAAGTATAGGCAATAGCTTAAAATTTACTTTTGGCAATACCAACAGATAAATAAAACCACCAGAGCCTATTGTCTTTGTTATCAAAGTTTATTACTGGGATCAGTTTCTATCTAGTTGGGAGTACCAGTCTCAGTGTGCTATGGTAATTCTCTGGTAACCACTATTCTGCTAATAGCTGTACTGGGGTTCTGTATAGATCATCTTAAGTCAGTGGAGGAGGGTGCCCCAGAAGACCCTGACAGCAGAACCATCACTCTAGGAAAATTCCAGTGCTATGTAACTTATAAGGCATTATCAGCTGATGAGTGATGAACAGGAGTTAAGTCCATTTCTACTCTTCGTTAAGTTACCTGGCTTCTGTGTGAAAACCCCAACATGGCATCTTTTAAGCTCTCAAGCAAGAGAAACAAAGTTGGGAAAGAGGACAGTAGAAGGAAAAACAAACATACCAAACAAAACTTGATGGCATGGAAAGTAACAGATGTCATTTGGGGATGACAAGACAGTTCGGACAAAGCTAATGAGAAACAATTAAAATGTCAGTTCATTCAGATCTTAGAGGTCATTTCATGTGTTTGGAACTCTGACAAACTGGGCAGGTGTAATGACTGGTTAAAGCAGATCAGAAAACTAGACGGCAAACAGTATGAGTACCTGAGCAGAAACTGGTAAAGATGCCAAGAACAGTGTACAGCATCCATATGAGCTGAGTGGAGGAAGGAAAAGCAGTCATAGCAACCGGTTGGCCAGACTGAGTATCTGGAATGACAGATCTAGTAAAGTCTTTGCCTGTGAGGTTCTGGCAGAATTTTTGTAGCACAGATAGCTTTGAAGGAATGTTTTTCTTATGCAGGAATGCAAATTACTATTGTGGAAAAAGTCAGTGACTCATATCTATTCTTGTAGAGTTGAAGTCTGAAAGCAGCTGTGGTTCAAGGCCCAATCCCTCCCACTGCCCTTTTGATAAAAATATTCAAGAAATTAACCAAGTATGAGTCAGTGGGTCTTGTCTGCACAGACAGCAGATGGTTTAGAGACATCTACAAGCAGCCTGAAAAGCAAAGGCCTGTTAACCAAGGGTTGCCTCATTAAAGAGGGTTAATAGGGAACGAAGGGCCATTGAATAAGACCCTAAAAAGTCTAGCTGCCAACTAGATTAGGAAGGTAGGTGTAACAGCATCATCTATTTTATACTCTTATCTTCTGGCACCAAGCCAGTGTCTGGATTTTGCTGTTATTAATTTCATTCCCTCAGTGAGATGTGTAAGTAACAGTAGTACATGAGTGGTGAGTTTCTGCAAAAGCTTTTCTGTCGTCTTGACCTGTGTGCAAACAGGTTCTACCAAAGTATCTGCAAAGGTATATACTTGAGGTTTCTGCTCCACAGAAAAAGACACAAGAGCTGTGGTGACATGGTATGTCTTGGTGCTGAACAATGTTCTCTTCTCCAGGAAATACCTTTGTCCATTCATGTTTACAGGCTTCTATAAGGGGCAGAGGAGATAGCTCTGAAAGGAGAAATGGGGCAGAAGGTTTCTTTTCTGAGCTCGTTGCTAAACTTAAGGGTCTTAGGTCTGTATGACACCGGATGGAATGGGGTGGGTGGGGCTGTCTTGAAATAGGATGCTCAGGCTGCTGTCCAGACCTGGATGTTCAGAGCCTTATTGCCCCTTCTTGGTCTCTCTGCAGCCATCTTCTTACAATTTTTTTTTTTCCTTCCAAGTGTTCCAATCAGTTTCATTTGCTGGAAAACAGAGAACCTAAGTATGAATTAGCTTGGCCTTTTAACAAAAATCATATTCTATTCCATGACAGGAGGTGCTTTAATGCCCGTCTTGTGGATCTTGTTTGCTGTGAATCCCTATTTCCATCACTCCCCAGCAGCTGTACAGAGATGGAGGCATATGGAGGAGCAGAGGCTCCCGCTGTGTGCAGCTGTGGCTTAGCATGGTTTCCTGCCCACTCCTCTTCTGAGGGTTTTGATTGGGTTCCACAAGTGGTAAATTGCTTAGAAAATTGAAAATGTTTTCTAACAGAGGGGGAAACAGGAATGAGAGAAGACAAAACAACTGCACTCAGTCTGCTAGGCAATGGGGCAGCAGAGTGGTCAGCAGAAAGGGTTCTGAATCCATGGGACTTTATACAGAGTGGGGGGCATGGGAAGAAACCATTTCAGTTACCTTGAATGCAGCATTAAGAACTGCTTGCTCTACTCTTAAGTTTAAGGCTCAGTGTTAAGGGTAGGATATGAGGGCAGGAAGGAGGTGCATGTCACTAAGAGCCTGTGCTTATACAGCACAAAGCAGTGGAGATTTCAGTTAGCATTCTGCTTGCATGGCAGGTGGTCAAGTAAAATGTACATTAGTAGACTTTTTTTTTTTAAGGAGAAGGTATATTAAGATAATTTTAGGTCTTTGGTTAAAGACTGGCCACTTGCCTTTTCAAAGGCTGCAGATGGACTGAAAAGGAAAATGAGAATGGATGAGTTGTCTGTGCTTCCTGTGTCCCTACTCTGGCACTCTCCTGCTTGCTCAGGGTGTGTGTACAGGGCTTTTGCTAGGTGGGCTCTGCTCAGCTCCCATCCCTGCTTTCTTTCAAAGCTGCTCTCCTCCTGCACACACCTCCCACCCCAACTTGATGACCTCAGGGCCTTAAACTTTACTCATTGTGGTACTATTTCTGGTGCAGATCAGTTTTTAAAAAGGTTTGTTTTTATGCGTATATATGTGAGCCTGCATGAGGATATGCATACCACATGCATGTAGGAACTGGCAGAGGCCAGAAGAGAGCACTGTATCCCCCGGAAGTAGAATTACAGCTGGCTGTGAGCCGTCATGTGGGTGCTGGGAACTGAACCCCAGTCCTCTGCAAGAATGAACGGTAAACACTGAGTCATCTTTCTAGCCCCAGATTTATTTTTAATTACATATACACTGTGTTTCTGTGTGTGGAAATGTGCATGTGACTGCAGGCGCCTAGGAGGCTAAGAGGTCACTGGTTATGAGCTACATGATGTGGGTGCTGGGAACCAAACTGGCTCTCTGCAAGAACAGTATTTTTTTTTTTTTTTAACTGCTGAGCCAGCACTGCAGCACTTCAAAAATTCATTCAAAGACACCCTTCAGGCATCTGCTGACAACAGGAACTGTCTGAAATGGCTCATCCCATCTGAAGTTCCATGGACTAAGATGATGTTTTAAAACTCTCAACATTCCCTAGAGGAAAGCAAGTAATATGTATCATCATCCCCCTGGTGGGCATGGTATGACCACCCTAGGACACAGACCGGAGGCTTAGAGATACTAAAGGCAGACTTCACTCTCTCCCTGGGTCATGGTCCTGCAGATCAGCAAAAGGCAGTGCAACTATGTTAAGTAATGCAAGCAGACAAACCAGCCCTAAAAGTTCAACATTTATAAGAGAAGAAAGTTATGTTTTCAGACAAACTTTTTGTAAATGGAACAATGTTGACTATGCTCTTTTGGGCCCAAGTAATTTTTTGCAGTCGTACTGCTCTCATGTGAAGTGTTCTGGCAGCTTCTTGTTCATCTTACCCGCTATACAAGTGCTTCTGGATCCAGGACACAGAATAAAATACAAAAGAGAAAATGGTGATGACCTGCTGTTTATACTGTGGCATGGCAGGCTTAAAGAGAACTTAAAAAGAGAAACTAGTGGCCAGGAAAAAGGTAGTGCTAGGCATGACTGGGAGCATCAGTGATAGTTCCTGGCCAGTTACCTGAACTCTTCCTTCAGTTGCCCTCAGCCACACTTTCAGGGTCATATTCTTTTGCTGGTTCTCTGGGCAACTGGCTCTCAATTTCCCATAGGACGTCACCTTCCTCCTCTAAGTTGCTGGAGATGTGGCACTTTCTGAACCCCTGGACAATGGATTCACTTGAGATGCTGTTCCATGCAACCATGACCCACTCCAGGAAGAGGCCCAAGGGTGGCTTCTTCGCATTTCCAGTGGGGCTCAGTGCCAGGTTCCCCGCCAGAAGCCAGTTGGAATACTGGGCCCGGACACTGTCATTCAGAGGCTTGTAGACCACCATATCCAGCACCTGCAGCTGGGAGGTCAGGCCCCCTGGGATGATCACCATGTCTGTGTTCATGCTTTCCATGGAGCTCTTCACAGAGTCGGTGGCATGACACCGGAAGCCATTCAGGATCAGCATCCCCCGCTGTTTGGGCACAGCTCCAGTTCTCCGTCTCCACACAACTTCCAACCAGTCTTGCATCAAGTCCTCAGTCATCCACCCGTAGCGGTGGCAGCGGATTTCCATGCCACTGGGGAACTTCTCAGGGGGGATGTATGTCCCCCTCAAAATGATGTATGGGGGTAACTTCCTCCCATCAGCCAACACACCCAGCATGGCTGTGATCTTCAATTTCTCCCTACCTGGTGTCTTGACCAAGACAGGCTTTTCGCCCTGGTTGTCAACAGTCACCCTAGAGGGCACTTCTAAGCAGATGGGTGTCTCGTCTGCATTGCCCATCTGTGCCACTTCATAGTCGTGTGTCCGGCGCAGAGCCAGCACACTCTGCTGGTAAGTGACGAGCTTCTCAGTCAGGTCCTCTGCCAGGTGCTGTGGAACTGGCACTTTATGCCGCAGAGATAGGTCATACCTTCTCATCATTCTTCGACACCAGCCCAGACTTGCCTTGAACCCTTTCTCTGGAATGTTCATCTCCTGGGCGATTTCAAGAGCTTTCAACTGCATTGCCTCCCTGGTGATGGGGTCCCCTTTGGCCTGCATGTATCTGACATACTCAGCCACACGTTGGTCCACCAGAGCAAACCTCCCATTCTTGGGACCTCGGAATGCCCGCCGCATGGCATGGGCATTTTGGAGCTGTGGCTTTACTTTTCGCCAGTCTCGAACATTTTTTTCCAACACCCCAAACTGCTTGGCAGCCTGACAGTTGTTGGTGCTCTCAGCATACTCCACCACCATCAACTTGAACCCTGCATCGTAACTGCGGCGCATGCCCCGACTGAACTGAAACTTGCTAGCCAAGTCATCAGCTGAGAGGTCATACCCTGGGAAGCCCAGGGCCATGTAGAAGGGGTAGCCCTCACTCCACTCAGGCAGCTCAGTGATATCCTGAGGCAGATGCCAAAAGCTGTTGAAGTGCTGAGGTTGAGGGAAAGGGGAGCTGGTGGTCATTGGGCTTGCCCAATGCGGAGTCTTAAAGTCAGATTCTTCATTTTCTAGAAGACAAATAAGGAGGGGCAAAAATAATGCCAGCATGTAAAATGGTTTATTCATAGATTTGGGGGAGGTCATAATGTTTAATCTGGAACTCACCAAAGATGAACCAAAAGTTCAACAAATAACACAGCCTAAGTCTTTGTCTATGTCCCATTAGCACGGATTACCAAATCTTATTTTCATAGTACGGTGTGTAGCAGAGGCCCTTTGCAGTTAAGCTGCTGTGAAATATAGCAACATCACCAAACTAGGAAGTGACAAGAGAACTTTGGGTGGGGATTGAATTCAGGTATTAAGCCTGGAGCAAATGATATCATGCCATGTTTGTATGAAAACAATGTTTATGTGTGGGCCTGTAATCCTAGCTATACGGGAGGCAAAGGAAGGAGGATTACAAGTTCAATGCTGGACTGGACTACACTGCCTCAACATATAAAGAAAAGAAAAAAAAAAGACAGCTAGGGCTGGAGCTTGCTTAGCATGTGCACACTCCATCCCCACCCCCACATGACCAGAACCACCCAATGCTTATGTGGGTGGGAAGCCAAATGTATCCATACTACTACCCAATATCACAGAAATCTGGGAGCACCTTGAGCTGAACCAAACCAAACCAAAATAAAACAACAAAAAAAACCCTACAGCAAGACCTATGTCAACAAAATCAAGCCTATAATGCAGACACCTGGTTCCTGCACAGCAGAAATAAAACTGTTTCATCATACATTTCCATTTGGAAGGCAGTCACAGGCAACATGGTTTATGGTGATTACTGTATCTTCTACACATAAAGGCCATCAGCTATAAAATGCACTATTATGGATGATGAAAAGAAAAATAAGCTATCACATGTCATTGGTTTTAAGAGGCATTCTCAATTGCAATATTAGTAAAACAAAGGAAAGCATGTGGAATCAGTGAAACGTAGCATTTTAACTATATTTAAACCATAAAGAAAAGCAAATATATTTCGGCAAAGTCTCAAAGCTATGATTCATATGTACACATAAATATAAGTGTAAATATGTGGGTATGAGGATGCACATACACACATACTTTTTTTCTTCTTCTGAGATAGTCTCATGTAGCTCAGGCTGGTCAAGGATGACCTTGAACTTCAGAGCCCCCTGCCTCTACCTCCCAAGTGTTGGGATTAAATGTATTTTTCCAACCATTTCTTTTGATACATTAGGTACTTCTTAGAAATAACTATTCAAATGTGTACTATAGCTGTTACTGCATTTCCTACCCAGAATGGAACAGGACGTCTAGAGTAAATAAATATACAAGTGTGCTTTGTCCTTCCTCTCATCATGCCTAGTCTGTAGAGGCACGTGGCATGCTGCCCCGTAGCCATGCTCGTTCAGGTGTGGACCAAAGGCTGTATCAGCCTCGGTTCACTCCATCCACACACCAGGTTGCACATCCAAGTGTAAACTCACAACCAATGATGAAGAAATGGTGGTCCAGGACAGAGAGGTTGCCTAAGTCGACACACTACTAGAAAGGGGGATCTTTATATTCCAAAGCCTACACATAATCTTTGTCCTCACTCCTGGATAGCCCTCAGAATACACACGGAAAGCAAAAACCCAGATTGTTTCCCTTAGTGTACGGTGAACTGGTTCACTCAGTACCTGCAAAGGTTACTCCCTGGAGCCGCCACTCATCAGAATTAGGATACTCCTCTTCCCTTTCCAACCGACTGATCATGTCTGGCTTAGGGAATGGGAATTCTGTTCACAGGAAATAAAGTAGGAAAACAACTGTGTGTTATTGAGTAAGGAACACCCTCACCCCCCACTGTTGAAGATGAGAACAGAGCTTGGTGATAAGTAAAAGCATAAAGGATGGAAAGCATTCTGTCTGGACATTCCTAGATCTCTGCTAATGGGAGCTGGTATTAGCAACAGCAAAGTAGTACAGTGACTGACAGGTGGGTGAATGCAGCCATCAAAACAAATCAACATTCTGGAACCCAATGGATAAAACCTGGGAAATTCTTCCAAATGGTTACACTCTGAGAAGAGGGATGATGTCAGTGTGTGTGTTTTGGGCAAGTGCTCTTTGCTGTATCCCCAAGTGTGTCTGAGGCTGATAGGACAACAAAGCTTTCTTTCCCAAAGATCAACAAAATACTGGCCTAGATCCATGAGGACTTTTTGAAGGCTATATTTTTTGACTTTTTTTTTTAAAGTAATGGGAATGCTTGGGCCAAATAGAAGGGTGTAATCTGTATGTCCTATTGAAATCAAATCCAGGAAATGAAGCTGGCACAGACACAGGGAGAGGGTCCCACTCAGATGAGCAGGCTAGATGCAGCAGAGAAGACAGAATGATACAGTTCTCCAGGGCCAGAGCTTCCCAGAGACAAAGGAAAACAAAACATTACCCAGGGACAGGACAGTCTCATAATTCATCCTCATGACTTCCCGATAGAGGGCTTTTTGTTGCTCCGTCAAAACTTCCCATTCCTCATCCGAAAAATATATGGCCACCTCATCAAATAGGGCTGGCACCTGGAATATGAACAGTACTTTCTCAATGACTGGTATGGACATGCACACAGATGTTCACATCTGATGCGCTGTGACAGGCAAGTGGGTACGGCGAAGCCTTAACTCTCACAGGTCAGGTCAGGGCTCTCACCCAGAGGGAATGGTCTGTCTTTTCTCATTGCTGTTGGGGACAGAGGTGTTTGAGAGCCCTCCTGTGTCCTATCACCACAGCAGCTGGGCATCATCTCCTCAGGTACTGCCTGAGGTCTGCTTACAGTTCACCTGGGACTCCAAAGTCAAGAACCAGCCACACCCCAAGTAAGTATCCCCAAAAGGATATCCATCCCAATTTCACCTCTCTATATTCCTGCCAGAGACCCTAAGCCCAGGAGGCTGGGTTTCAAGCTGAACAGGACTCTTGCTTTCCATGGTGTCTCTGTGGATCATACAGACTTCCCTCCTCTAAATGAGTCAACACTTTCTGTTGACTCAAGGCCAAAGCCAGCTAGAGGGAGCCAGCCAGAGAAGGCGCCTTACTAGGCCCTTCCACTCTATAGGAGCACAAGTAGCAGAAAAGGGCTAATTTGAGCTTCACTTATGGAATGAGATCCCAGCAAAATGGTGGGCTTTTATGCCAGACTAGGCTCCCTGATCCCTGCCCCATTCTTCCACCTCTCCCTTTTCTGAGTCCCAAAAGGAGTGAGTGCCTTCCTAGCTAACGATGACCAGCAACCAAAATCTCTTGCTTTTCCAACTCAGTTGCTTTTCTTTCTACTGCATTTTCTTTTGTGGTCATTAAAAATCCTACTCCAAAGCTCATATTTAGTGTTAAAAAATCACCAATGAACTTTCTTCAGAATATCTACTTTGTATTCTCTCCTTTAAGCTTACTCCTCAAAGCTGTGTCTTGAGCCTGGGTGGTCACACTGTCTCTCCTTAGCTTAGAAAAACCATGTATATATATGGTCTGCAGTCTCTTCAGGAATCAAGCTGTCAGTCACACATCTGGCTTAATGATCTGTAAATTAGACAAATGTCTTATATGTGCAGGTCCGGTGTGGAACTCAGAACTTAGCCTGCATAGTTAATAATTTATGCTAAATACTAAGTGTGTGTGTCACAAACATCCCACTTCTGACACAAGATAATGTGGGAAATTACCAATAAAGAGCCAGGTAAAAATACAAGAGAATTTAATACAGAAAAGCCTTACTTACAGAGCGACGTAGCCTGCCAGTGGCAGCAGTAAGTACAACAAGCTGAAGAAGAAAGCAAAAGCAGGGCCTCCACTCCAGAGTGCCCCTCACTCTTAACTTTCCCTATGGCACCCTGACCACCCTGACCATCCCCTAAGCAGGCGTGGCTACAGCATCCCCTACAATGGCCTTTCTTCCCTTGTCAACTAGGCCTAGTTATTATACTTTAACTTTGCTACTGTTATGAATTGTAAAGATCTGATATGCAGGATGTCTGTGAAAGGGTCATTTGACCCTTGGGGGTGTCACGACCCATAGGTTGAGAACTACTACTATAGTTAGTAGGCACATACCATATATTACTGAATGCCTTATTGAGGCAAATATATTACCTCTGGAGTTCTCTTCTCATACTTGGAACAGTTTTAAAAAACTAAAATTTTATTTGTCAAAAAACCAAGTCAACTCTTTGGAGTAAAACTGAACAAAAAATTCTTCACATGTGGAACAGTAGGAGATAAAAATGGTGAGGTCCCTAGGCTTTCCTCAGTGTTCCTCAATCTAGAAACCAGGCAGCTCAGAGAACTTCATGTCTACTCTGTTCCTACTACCCAAGATTTTAAACAATTCTCTTTGGCCTTTTCACTCCCTTACAAGTTCCAGATCTAGGCTATAACTATTTATAATCTCCTGTTCACTGACAGAAAAATGCAGGCCTAGTTACATAAATCCCTGCAGGGCAGGTAACACATTCTAGGCCTGGATAAATGTTGACTTTCAAGAGCTTGTGTGGGGACTCAGCCTCTCCTAATTATCACGTGGCTAGAGGACCCTCAAACAAGTTCACAACAGAGAGGCTTAGAATGTCTCCCCAGGGCCCCGAGAAGATAGGGCCAGACTTTGGGTCCTGCTACACAGGCCTTTTTTGCTTCATAGAAGCCTTTTATTTGATCAAACACAACAGAAAGTAAACAGTGCTGGCTCTAGTTAAAACTGAGAAGCCAGGCGGTCTGCAGGCAGTTCAAACTTCAGTCATCCTTCCTCCACCTTACAGGTAAGAACCAGAAATTCCTGTCCTCCTCCTCTCACATGGCAAGGACTCAGCAGAGAAGGGTTCTTTAGCTGGTGTGCACTGCCTCACTCTGCTGGGAAGCTGGCACTCCAATACTTACCTCCCAGGTAATTGTTCTGTAAAGCGCTTGCACACTTCTTTGCAGCTTACTAGATAGTAGGCATCTGAGGGGAGCTGGAAGTGCTGCATCAATGGAGCCCCTTGGAGGTCAGGCACTGCCTGGGGTATTTCCATCCATGTAAACGTATGGGGATTGCTACTGAACTTTTATGGTTAAGGAAACAGTGGCCAAGGAGCTTGGCTGAAGTCATACAGCTAGAGTCTGATTCCAAAGCCAGTGCTGTCAACAGGCTGCCCTGGCCTTACCAAGGTGACTGTAGTATGTAATCCTTCCCAGCTCTGCTCTACAGAGGCTTATTATGTAGACTGATGGGTTTCAGACTCATTCCTCAAAGTTACTCAGGCCAGCTTAACTACCTGGTGCAGCATACCATGTCCCCTGGCTTACCTTTTTCCATTGCCTGTCTCACACTTAAGGCTCCAGCTTCAGGGTGTCTCTTAACTCTACCCACAGCCTCTCTTCCGTGTCTTTGATCATGCTGTTTTCTTGCCTGGAGTACATGCTCTCTCTCTCTCTCCCTTCCCTTTGCTCATCTCACTCATTATAAGGTTCAGTTCAAAGTATATTTTTTCTTTCTATTTGAAACTGTATTTCTACTCTAATTCTATTACAGAGCACAGCTTACATGTGAGTAGTTCTTATGAATCATCTTAATTATTATCAAAATACAGATTCTATTTTTCTTTTCTAATTTAATGTGCTAGATCAGTGTCTCAACCTTATGCTACTGACATTTTGGACTCCCCAGTTCCTTGTTGTAGGTGCAGGTACCTTCACCTGCACTGTACGTGTATAGGGAGGTCCTTGCTCAAACTGAGGATGCTTTTAGGGCCTCAACCCCAAACTCTACATTAGCTCACAACAACTAAAACCATCTCCATATACTGCTAAATGTTCCAGGGTGGGAAGGGGGCGAAACTGTTCATGGCTCAAGACTAGGCCTTCTCCAGAAGCATACTGTCAGGCCTGAATGAGACTTTCCCTCTGTGCCTCTGAGAGAATCCTGAGCTGCCCTCTGCTGCTCTGCCAGGTTTCTTTCCCTTATGAGACTGGGGGCTGTATGAAGGAACGGATTTGTCTTAATATTGTGCAGTAACTGTCAATGGATAGCTGTAACATGAGTAATAAAAACCCAGAGACTGATATTGGGGTTCAAGATGAAGATCACAGAAGCAAAGTAGCCAAGCACTAGCTCCACCTCTACCTCAGACTGAAATGGCAATCCTGTCTCCACGAATCCTCACAGACAATGCTCTCTGCCAAACCTCAGACTGCAATCCTGTCTCCAGCAAGCCTCAGACTGCAATCCCAGACTGTTACCACTCAACGTGTTTGGAGACAAATTCTCTCATGAGACCCTTTTCTTTTATACCTTCCAAATCCTGGGATTAAAGACATGGGATCCCAAGTGCTGAGATCTCCTTTGTGTGGGCTGTTTCTCTTTTAGACTGGATCAATTTCCTGTAGCTCAGCGTGGCCTTGAACTCACAGAGATCCCTCTACCTCTATCTCCTGAGTCCTGGGATTAAAGGTGTGTGCCACCACTGCTTAGCTTCTATAGCTAACTATAGCTGTAGTGTAGCTGGCTTTGCATTCTGACACTTCAGGCAATCTTTATTAAATAATAAATAAAATATCACCACAGATAGCTGACTTCCTACAGGTTACAAATGCCCAAATCCCAGCCCCACCTATCAAGCTGCCAGGCTCCCTCCTTTAGCCACCCTGCTCACACCTTTCTTTGCCGGGGAAGGCAAGCTCATCACCTGGCTTTTCTCATTTGCTCAACAACACAGTCAGATGTTTACTTTGACTGCACCTGATTTCCATACTGCTCCAGCCCATTTTAGCTATCCTGGGTTGTTCAATTTAGCCTCAGAAGACAGGGTTTTTGCTGCTTTAAAGTCTTCAAGCTGCCAGGACTGACCACTGCACAAGTCAGAACTGGGGAGGACAGGGTGGACAAAGACAAATAGATAAAAGGCCCCATGGCTATGACCAGTGAGCCCAGAGCCTGGTGACACACAGTTTACACTGAGACATAACACAGAAACATGCTCCACTGCTGGGCTGCAGCTCAGGAAGTCAGTGTACACAGGGATCCATGCAGGCAGTAAAGCCAGTAACTTTTCGGTACCTGAGGTCCTGTAGGAAGGGTGGACTAGATAATTTGGAAGAAGGGTCCTTCCAATTCTTTGCCTGCAGCTCTGTATTCTATGGTGAAGGGCTTCCCTTTTATTGGGCACAAAGGATGTTATGTATTGATAATGTTTATATACAATAAAAACTAAGCAATGTCAATTTAGTCAAGTGCTTATTTAAAATGTTTACAACTCATACTCAATTTCCATGACCCCAGTAACAACTGTATGCATTAAATGTTTGCATTAAACACTGCTGCGCTCACACTTGTGTGTGCCCTGGAGCTTAGCATTTCCACTTACACCTGGGGGCCAAATAGCACTGGGGATCAACTGTTATACCTAAATTCTCCTCAGTCAGCTCAATGGCCCAAGTCTGTATTTGGTGCCTACAATATCTATGATGATATTAAGTGAGCACACGAAGTGGATGAATGAGACAGTGACAAGAAGACAAGGTCTCAGTTTCTGAGACTTATAATCAGCCTTGGTGCCAGAGGCCCTGTTCCCATCACCGCCTCCTCCTTTCATTATTTGCACTACTTTTTGAAGCCACAGGGCTGTTTTCTCAGGAATGCAAACATATGAGACTTGGGCTATTTTTTACTTCCCATGTCTGCCCCAGGAGGAGACCTAAAGCAAGCGTGGCTCTCAGGCTGGATCCCACACTTTTACTTACCCATGCACCTTCGGAACAAATTTGTACTTTCTGCATATCTATGGGGGCATCCTCCAATTCCTGGATTTGAATCTCGTTTTCTTGCTCTTCTTTCAGAGACAAATTTGGAGGATAGGCTGGGAACTCCATCTCTGCATGCAAGATTCAGCAGACAAGTCAGGTGTCAGAGTACACTCTAGGACCCTGAGAGGGTGGCTCAGGCACACACACAAACCTGCAAAACACTGTCTACTTCCAACTAGAAGGGATTCAGGGAAAGTGGCTTATTTCATTATTAGAGGGGCCCCGGGCAGATACATCTGGCTAGCTTCAAATATTTAAAAAGCTTTCTGTGGTTCGGAAACCAGAATACTTTTCACAGAGCATTTGTACAGAGGGACAGAACTGAGAACGGTGGATGAGCATTCCAGGAGAGGTTTGGAACAGTGCACTCACAGGCATAAGTTTCCCACCACCAGTCAGGGCCAAAGGAGAGCGGTGCTGGTTTGCCACCAAGTCAAAGAGTCTGAGCCTAGACAGGACATTCGAATAGTTGGCACAGAATATTTATCACCTGGATTTTCCAGATTCACAGACGCTGTCCACAAGCCAGTTCAGAAACTTGACAGTCTTAAAGGACCTCCCAAAGCCAAGTCCGTGATACAGAGAGGGGTGTGCCCGGGTGGCGAAGGCCGACCCAGATCTGGCAGGGCTCTTCGCCTCCGGGTCGCAAATTCTCTGCATTCGAAGCCGCCTCAGGCCGGTACAAAGAGCCTCCCCTTAAAAGACTGCGGGCAATTGCTGGGTGTGCAGGGAGTGTGCATCTTGCGAGTCCCATTTTTCCGGGACTTGCAAAGCGAAGGTCTTCCCGGAGTTCGCAGTCAGCTTCTCCAATGTCGGCGGG